GGGATGCAAAAAAGAAGAAAAAATAAGGGGTCACGCAAAGTTGTGGGGGGGGGGGGGGGGGGGGGGAGGTTCAGGGCATTTAGGGGAGAGTGGGGCTGGGTTTTTTGGTTTGTTTTTCCCCCCTTTAGGAGACTGAAACAGGAAAAAGGTGGCAATAGTTACTTCTAATCAGTAACTCTGCAGTCCATCAATATCAGTGTTCATTATGCCACAGACTGTACTTGAAGCTCTCACTCACCTGAAACTTTTAATTACCTTTACTATGGAAGCACTTAGACTTACAACTAGAAGTCAAACCTAGATCCATTCTAACTGTGGCACTGTACTGCCTGAACACGGCTATCTCCAAAAAGGCAAACCACCTGTGGGCTTTTCTCACTCCTCTGGGATCTGAAGCTGACAGAGCCATTTATCTTTCCTCAGAAGGGGCTTAAAGTATTCTTACTGTTATTACCATAATATAAAGCTCATTTTAAAGTAGGTTAATAAAATCTGTTCTACACAGTTATTTCACACAGAAGTACATAGAAAAGCTAGGGTGAAAACACTGCTTTTCCGGTTCTCCAACTTCAGAAACAAAGAAAAATACAAGCAAACCAGATGCAGCTTAACCCCAAAACTTTTTAAGTGGGGAAAGAGAGGAGAAAGACATTTAATCACTATTCATTTTAGCATTTCATTGTTAAAGATTACCTTAAAACTGGCTGCCGCCACAGATCCAACAGCTTTATGTACTGCAGTACTGTGTTCTGCAGCTTAATTCCTTAAGATTTTCTCTGCCAGCCTACATTTCCTGAGCTTTTTGGTCCAACACACTCATAACACGCTTCAAAACACATTACGGTTCACCAAGCACCCTTACCATAAATTTATAAACACAGTACTTTATTATTTAAAATATAGCTTCCATAAAGTAGCTATAGAAGCTTACCACAGCCTTGAAATGCAGGCCAGTCTGAAAATCAAGGTCATACGCACTTATTCCAAGCCAGCCTTGCAAAAATCTCATGCATTACAGACAAACAAGCATCCTCCTCAGGCCACTTCTATAAAGAAGACAACATACCCTCAGTTTAGTAATGATGCACCTTCTCACCACACAAACTCACATCTACGCAAAGCCCTTAAACCAAGGACAGCATAAACTTTGAGTCCAAACTTATCTGCTTGCATAGACATTTAGGTCAAAACCCAACTCTGTTTTTATTCAGGTTACAACAGGCCCACTTCGCAGCAGACAGCAAATCTCAGGTTTTGACAACATTCCAGCACCATCCTATATTCCCTCCCCAGTTTTTCATTCCTTTGGCTCACTCTCTACCCACTCACTTTTTATGCATCACTCTTCAAACATCAATCAGATACGTTGTTCAGAGAGAAATACATTAATCCTTCATTCCTCTGCTCTATTTACACACTACTCTGCTCACGCCAAACAGCATTAATAAAGCATTGTCCCTGCATGTGATTTTTTGGGGGGGTCAAGAAGTTACACTTGTTCACACTAGGACACTGACTGCTCTCTTGTGTAATTACACAAAGAATGCGGGAGAAAGCTGCATAACTTGTCACTGACGCTGCTTACACCGTTTGTTGCAGAAGCTGGTAGGTGGGGAGGAGGAATCACACTACAGAAAAAGAAAAGATAGTCCCGTGATTTAGGCAATTTAATTATAACCCAGAGAACTAAGCTCTATTCCTTTCTCTTCTACATAAGAGAAAGTCCCAAACCATAACCTTTGTCTTAAGTAGATGTCACATGCTGTATGTACCTTACTCTTTGAACATTTATGTGCAAATAAAATCAAGAAGAATCATGTACAGAAAACAGACCACCATAAAATTGCTATATACTCTGACAGAATGGAAATGGATATAGACATCTTGAACTGGGTGCAGAAAATTAGCAAGTAGTAATCAGATTGCTGCAAGACTTTATGCCTCTACCTATCAGCAGGTCTCCTCACTTTAACAGTGTAAAAAAACCACCAAAGTTCACACTTGAGAAACTCTCATAAAAATACAATAAAAATTCATGAGAAAAATAACACTGTCCTGAATAAGAAGAGATTTGAAGTAAACTCCCAAATTACGTGGACTAACAAAAAGCCTGAGTATCTACCCATTTTGTACAGCTAGCAGTATTGCAAACTAAGTAAAAAATCAAGTCAATAAAAAACGCAGGTCCTTACAAAGATCATGCAGTAACACACATAAGCAGTACATGCATATTGCTGGAATAATCTTCACTCTCTCACCTCTGAGCAGCTACAAATCTGACTTTCTAATTCTAAAATATTACAGATTCTGTTTCAAAGTAAGTAGATAGTCGTCTTGGTTCTAACATGTTTCAAAAGGATAAAAAAATGCAACATTAACCTAGCCCTAGCCAAAGCAAGAAATCCTTACTTCTGTCACTGGCAATCGGCAAACTGCTCCTACTTGGAAGGTGAACTTGAACACTCAACAGCAGTACCTACAGTGCAATAAATTAATCAGTTCAGAGTGAGGGCCTACCTGCTCTATTTGGCATCCAGTACTATGCCTGAGCATATAATTCATGCTATGCCTAAGCATGTAACATTTTAAATCCAAATCCTCAGGTTAGGCAAAGAAAAGAGATTCATGACTTAGAATCTTGACTCACAGAAAAATGAACTACAGTAAATCAATACTTAAACCAAACGAAGCACAAAAACTTCCAATCCAGGAGACAAATTGAGAAAAACTCTATGTGCCATTCCTAAGTTTTTCTTTTGGAGGTTGGGGCAGGGAAGTTTCTAATAAGATGTGAGAAACATTAGAATAACAACACACAGATACCAATGACCTTAATGTTTTTCTGGCAGTAGTTTGCATTTGGACTAAGAAAAACGGGGCGGGGGGGGGGGGGGGGTGGGGACGCAGCTCAGTCACCAGAAAACCACACCAGTTATTTCAAAAATATAGTTACAAGACAGAACCAGCAAATTCCATCGTATAACAACAGCTTAGCTAACCAACTCTCGAACACAGGAGCCAAACACGATCCCCGAACACCCACCTCAGGCAGCACTCCCACTAGCCAGCAGCACCACAGAGATGGGCACTGCAGCATGCGCTGAAGGTCAACATTTTCAGGCC